CCTCATTATTTTCATGATTATCCGATGTTGCCGTCTCTTGGGGGGCGGTAGTGGTGGTGGTGGTAGAATTGCTTGTTTGTGATTCAACTACCACAGCGACATCTTCATCCATTTTTTCGACAACATCATTACTCGATGAGGATGAATCAACTTCCATGGGTTCGGGTGTTGTGTCCTTAGATTCAATGAGAACCGTTTCACTGGCTTCAGCGGGGGCGGCCGAAGCAGCTGCAGCAGGTGTTGTTTCCTTTGGTTCCTCAGCACCACCGGCGGCAGCAGTTGGTTTTTCAATCTGTTCATCAACCAATTCCACATCATCTGAACTCATGGGACTATCATTGGAATCGGATTGCAGGACCACCACATCATCCGATTTGGCAGTAGATTCCTCAGCCGCCACCACTTGGGATTGGGTTTCTTCTGTAACGGCTGGCAATGGTGTTGCTGTGTCGGTGACATCTTTAGCAGGTGGTTCTTCCGTTGCAGTTTCTGTGGGTTTGGTGGCTTCTGCCTCAGTAGCTGCCTCCGATGCGGCGGCGGTGACTGTTTCTTCTGCCACATTATCTGCAACGGATTTTTCTTCATCTGTTTTATTTGTTTCTTGTGTTTGAGCCTCGGCAGCGGCAGCAGTAGCATCGGTTTCTGATTTTTCCACCTTCTCCTCCTCCTCGTTCTTTGTTGCCTCTTCAGCTGGGGTTTCTGATTTGTCTTGTTCTTCTGATTCCTTGGTGGCGGCGGCATCTACTACTTCCTCTTGGGGTTTTTTGTTGTCCTCAGATTTCTGTAATAGAAAATTTATAATTATTTTCAATTTATAACAAAGAAAAACAAAGGTGTATCCACACCACCTACCTTCGTCTCTTCGTCTCCCTCTTCCGTTTCCATTTGTTCCTTTTCGGCGGCTTCTTCTTTTTCGACAGCAGCCGCTGCCGCTCTACCTCTTCCTCTACCGCCCTTGGCTGGTGTTTTCTTTTTACTTGGTGTTGGTGCAGCGGCCTTGGTGGTTTCCTGCTCCTCCTCTTCGCCAGCAGCATTATCTGTGGATGTGTCTAATTTACGTCCACGCCCACGTCCACGTGTCGGCGTACTGGCACCACTGGCCGGTGAGGTACGTGCCTTTTTAGCTGGCGGTGGTGTAGCGGCAGCTGCCGCTCTGGTTGGTGTACCACGGGTACTGGAGCGCGTCCTTCGACCACCTTCCATTTCCAATGAGCCACCCATATTTTTTACCAATTCCTCACTTTCAAGGCGGGCACGTTCTACATAGGATAACCGTTTGGAGGGTGTACGTTTGGCCTGTAAAAGGGAGATTAAAAAGAATGAAGGGTGGTTATTAGGAGAGACGAAGGAAAAAATATTTAAGGAGAAGTTCAAGTGAAAATATAAATACTCGCAAAGGTGTTCCATGGGCTCCAAAAAGGGGCAATTATATTTTCTGTAGATAAAATAAATATCTCTGGACCTTCCATAGGGAATATAAGATTTTAAGGTCTTCTAAGGACAATGGAAGACCTCAGAGGTTTCCATATACAATAGAAGATCTCTGGGTCGTCTACAGACAATAGAAGATCTCAGGGTCTTCTGTAGACAACAGAAGACCTCTGGGTCTTCTATGAGCAATAGAAGACATCTGGGGCTTCTATGGGCAATAGAAGTCCTCTGGGTCTTCTATATGGGAAATAGAAGACCTATGGGTTTTATATAGCAAATAGAAGACTTATGGGTCTTCCATAGCAAATAGAAGTCATTTGGGACTTCTATGGCAAATAGAAGACCTTTGGGTCTTCTACATCAATAGAAGACCTATTGCTTTTCTTTAGCAATTAGAAGACCTCTGGGTCTTCTACATCAATAGAAGACCTATGGCTTTTCTATAGCAATTAGAAGACCTCTGGGTCTTCTACAGTCTTTACGCCCAACACACTTTCATTTAGACTCTCCAACTGTCATTGGAAGGTTCATCGAAGAAAAAAACGCGAAATGTCACCAAAATATTGCCACCCATTTTCAAAATAGAGAATTTTAACAGAAGATGGCAACAGAAAGGTAATTGATTTTTTGGTGTTTCTTTCATTCCTCCTTTCGGCCAATTGTGTGTGACAAATCTTAAAAAAAATTGGCGCATGATTTTTCGATGCGCAGAGTGGCATGCACGACTCTCTCGCGACAAAACAAAAACACTTGTCCCCCAATCATCATCATCGTATATATATTCAGGAGATAAATTCTCATATTTCTCTCGCCACTCTCTCTTCCTCTCAAACCGAAGAAAGAACTCTCACAGCGAAAAAATACCTTTTGTGTGAAAAAATTTTTCATTTGAGAACATCAAATCGTATCGAACGGTTCGGTACCCAGAGCACAGCAGAAAAAAATTTAGAAGAAGAAAAATTCTATAATTTTAATTTAGGAAAAAAAGTAAGTAAAATTTTAGTGTTTTGAAAAGAAAATTCCCTGGCAAACATGGATTTAATTGCAAAAAAATGAAAACGATTTTGAAAACCTGAAATTTGTTTATAAAATAAGAATTTATGAAAGAAAGAAAATTGGCAAAATGATTGCCAAAAATCCATTGGAAGAAAAACTCTTGTAATCCATTTAAAAAAAATTGTGTTTTTTGTTGAAAACCCCGAGTGTGAGAATAAAACGAAACAAAAAAAAATATGTTTTGAAAATCTAAAAAATAAACTAATTACAAATCTATTGGTGAAAAATAAGCAGGAGAATGAAAATTCTCATCAATATTTCCTGCAATGTCATAATCCTTTTTTTGTGTTCGATTTCCTCACAAAGTGTGGCTGCCTGGCTTTTTGTTGTAAAGAAGCAGTATAGATTTTCTTCATGGCCTGACATACGACAGACAGAGAGACAAACAGACGACGACTACGAGGAGGAGATGCAAAAAAAAAACTACGACGAATGAAAATACAACAAACAACGACAAGAAAGTAATGAGTGGTGGTTGCTTGTAAATGAAAATGTTTGTTATTGTTGTTGAGGTTTTGTCGTAAGGACAACAACATTGTCCCAAAAACTGAACCGAACAGATTTCATAATAATTTCTGAAGGAAGGAAGAAAGAAAAAAGGAATTAGATTTAAAAAAAATTAAAAAAATAAATAAAAAATTTAAATTGGAAAAAATGTCCTTTAATGTTTAATAATCATTTTACATCGCGTAGGACGGGGCTTAGGTAGTAGTGGGGTACTTCTGATGATGAGGCTGATGGTGGAATTTCATGAATGTGCCAAGGACGGATATTGTGCAATGTTTTCATATTAAAGAAGAAGAAAAAACATTAAAAACCAGTGGCTTCCAAAATGAAAAAAAAATTACAAAACATATAAAAAAAGAATTTCAAAATTTAAATTAAGAACAATTTCTAATAAAAGCAAGTGGTTTCCAAAAAAAAACTCAAACTCAAAGATTTAAATAAAGTTGTTAATGGAAAATTTCTTAAAAATGTCAACTAACACAAAAAGGGATTTGAATATGGAAATAAAAACAACAAAATTTAATATTTTTGAGAAATTTTGCAATGGAAAAATAGTTTTAGAAAAATTCACAAAATTTATCAATTTTTTAAAATGGGTTTATAATATCCCTATTTCAAATTTCGATAAAAAAAATTAATTTTAACATTTAAACAATTTTTAATGAAAATTTTCGCGCAAATGTCAAATTTTGATAGAAATAAAAAATTAATTTCAAAATTTAAACAATTTTTAATGAAAATTTTCGCGCAAATGTCAACTTACATAAAAAGGGATTTGAATAGGGAAATAAAAAATAACAATTTCAAAATCAATATTTTTGAGAAATTTTTTAATGGGAAAATATTTTTAGAAAAATTCACAAAATTTATAAAAAAAAAAAATGAGTTTTTAATGATGTCCCCAATTTCAAATTTTGATAAATTTTCAAAAAAACTCAAAATCTGTGAAAAAAAAAATTATTCAAAATTAAAATTCAGAAAAAATTTTTGGATATTTTTGGCGAAAAAATGAAAAATTCGAATTGAATATTTTGCACAGAGAAATATTTTGTAAAATTTTCTAAAAAAAAAAAAAAAAAAAAAAAAAAAACAAAACTCAAATCTAAAAAAATTTGCTAAAAATTAAAAATTATTTCAAATTTTGAGGTTATGTTTTTTTTCGATTTTTAGTGGTATTGAAAACAAAACTTTTAGGTTTTGTTTTCGGATTTCTATTAAAATTCCGATTTTAACACATTTAAAGCATGTATATCACAAATCTTTAAGAAGGAATCAATTTAAACCATGAAAAACTGAAATTGAAAAACTGAATGTTTAAAAAAAATTTTTGAGGTTGTCAACAAATTTTTTCAAATTTTTAGCTTATATTTTTTCGATATTTTCATTTTTAGAGGTATTGAAAACAATATATGTATGTACACAAAATATATGATCAAAAAGGATGGTTAAAAATTGAAATAGTAGAAAAAAGAATTAAGAATACTGAGGTTATGTTTTGGGAGATTCGAGTTGAAATTTTAAAATTATTAACGCAATTAATATACATATATCTTTATAATCTGGGAAAATATCTCAAAACTAATAAATCTAGACAAAATTGTTGAGATTATGAAATATGTTGAGGTTAATTTTTTTACATTGGAAATAAAAAATTGTTTTTTTTTTTGGTGTATTTATTCACATATAAATTCCATATACTGTTTTGTATTCAATTTGAGGTTGTAATTTGTACTAAAATTTGCGATTATAATTTTACAAATCTATAAAAAAAATAGATCACAATTTCAGGTTATAAATTTTGATTCACAATTTCCATGAAAAAATAATCCTTGCATTTTTTACATTTATACTGAACTTTTCAAAAAAAAAAAAGTCAAAAAAAATCGGTTATGGTTGTTGGACCACAATTTTCCTATAAATAATGCATTATCACATCCACCTATTAGTTTCTCCATTTTACTTTCATAATATATTGTCCTAACATCTTCGTTTTATTCCCCCTTCCTCTTTCAGCACATCCTGCCAAAATGTCGTTGTTGAAACGTTTCGCTGATGAGGAGCGAGAATCCAAATATGGACGAGTATTTGCTGTATCTGGACCAGGTAAAAATCCACCTCACATAACCTATACAACGCAATAATAATTTTCTTTTCTCCCTCTCTCTCTCTCTTCCTACCCCTCTCTTCTGCCTAACAGTCGTTACCGCCGAATGCATGTCCGGTTCGGCTATGTACGAATTGGTACGTGTCGGCTACTATGAACTAGTTGGTGAAATTATTCGTCTCGAGGGTGATATGGCCACCATTCAAGTGTACGAGGAAACTTCCGGTGTTACCGTGGGCGATCCTGTCCTGCGAACAGGTAAACCCTTATCCGTTGAATTGGGTCCCGGTATTATGGGTAGTATTTTTGATGGTATTCAACGTCCGTTGCGTGATATTGGTGAAATGACCAGCTCCATTTATATACCAAAGGGTGTTAATGTCCACGCCCTATCACGTAGCACCGCTTGGGAATTTAGCCCCGTCAATGTCAAGGTAGGATCCCACATCACCGGTGGCGATTTGTATGGTGTTGTCGTTGAAAACACTTTGGTTAAACATCGAATGATGGTTAGTCCACGCAGTAAGGGTACGGTGCGTTATATTGCACCCCCCGGTAACTACACCATGGAAGATGTCGTCTTGGAAACAGAATTTGATGGTGAGGTGACAAAGCACACCATGTTACAGGTGTGGCCAGTGCGTCAACCCAGACCGGTAATTGAGAAATTGCCAGCCAATCATCCATTGTTTACGGGTCAGAGAGTGTTGGATTCGCTGTTCCCCTGTGTCCAGGGTGGTACTACGGCCATTCCTGGTGCTTTTGGTTGTGGTAAAACTGTTATTTCCCAGGTAGGTCAAGGGAAAAGGGAGAGTGGTTCATTAATTTTAATTAATTTTTATTCTTTCTATTTTAGTCCCTCTCCAAATACTCCAACTCCGATGTCATCATCTATGTCGGTTGCGGTGAACGTGGCAATGAAATGTCTGAGGTGTTGAGAGATTTCCCCGAATTGACCTGTGAAATTGATGGTGTGGTGGAGTCCATTATGAAACGTACCGCCTTGGTGGCAAATACCTCCAACATGCCTGTCGCTGCCCGTGAGGCCTCCATTTACACCGGCATCACCTTGTCCGAATATTTCCGTGATATGGGCTACAATGTGGCCATGATGGCTGATTCCACCTCCCGTTGGGCTGAGGCATTGCGTGAAATTTCTGGCCGTCTAGCTGAAATGCCTGCCGATTCTGGCTATCCCGCCTATTTGGGTGCCCGTCTGGCCACTTTCTATGAACGAGCTGGCCGTGTCCGTTGCCTGGGCAACCCAGAACGTGAAGGCTCCGTATCAATTGTAGGTGCTGTCTCACCACCTGGTGGTGATTTCTCCGATCCTGTTACCTCAGCCACTTTGGGTATTGTCCAGGTGTTCTGGGGTCTAGATAAAAAACTGGCCCAACGTAAACATTTCCCCTCCATCAATTGGTTGATTTCCTATTCGAAGTACATGCGAGCTTTGGATGAATACTACGATAAGAATTTCCCCGAATTTGTACCATTGCGAACCAAGGTTAAGGAAATCCTACAGGAGGAAGAAGATTTATCGGAAATTGTCCAGTTGGTTGGTAAGGCCTCGTTGGCTGAGACCGATAAGATAACCTTGGAAGTTGCCAAGCTGCTTAAGGATGATTTCCTGCAACAAAATTCCTATTCACCCTACGATCGTGTGTGTCCATTCTATAAGACAGTGGGTATGCTCAGGAACATGATTGCCTTCTATGAATTGGCACGGCATGCTGTGGAATCGACTGCCCAATCAGATAATAAGGTGACATGGAATACCATACGCGAATCGATGGGTAATATTATGTATCAATTGTCATCGATGAAATTTAAGGTAAGTTGAGAATAGGGAAGAAGCGAGAGAGAGGAGAGGGAGACTGAGAGAGAACAAGTGTCTAACAATTGCAATTGTGTTGTATTTACAGGATCCCGTCAAGGATGGCGAGGCAAAAATAAAGGCCGATTTCGAACAACTGCATGAGGACATGCAACAGGCCTTTAGAAATTTGGAGGATTAAGGGGAAGGATAGATAACCACCCATACCATAACAATATATAGAGAAATTTTAAAGACAAACCTTAGCTAAAACTAATAGCGAAAATAAATACTAAGCAGAAGAAGAAGGAGAAGGAGAATAAGAAAACCAAAAAAACCGAAACCTGAACAATAATTGCAGCTGGCTGGATACACAACAAAAAGGTAAGTTAAAATTGAATTGAATTATAGAAATCAAAAAATGTTGTATTTTTCATAAGTAAAAAATTGTATTTTTTTATATTAAAAAATATTATTTTTTACATTATAATGACATAAAACATATATTCTTTTTTAAATAAAAAAGTATATTTTTTATTTAAAAAAAATATTGTTTTCATATTTTATTTTTTAATAAAAAAAATATTTTTCATATATTCATATATATATTTTTTTTTTTTTTCATTTACAAACAATTTTATATTTTTTGTAATTAAAAACAATTTTGTAATTAAAAAATTTTTAATTTTTTCAAATTATAAAAATTTTTTAAATGTGAATTTCATAAAAAAAATGATTGAACGAATAAAATTCTTCAAAAATTAAAAAACTAAAAACTTTAAAAACTAAGTTTTAGACATTATTGAAATGAAAATTATTGAAATATAATTTTTTATTCGAATAAAAAATAAAAAAAAACATTAAAAGTTTACAAATTGAATTTGAAAATATTTTTTTTTTATTAAATATAAATTGTATTTTAATTTAATTAAATAATTAAAAATATAATAAATATAACAATTATAGGACATTATAAAAGTGATGAAAACATATACAATTTAATTATGTAATTACATATACAAATAAAATAAAAAAATAATTAATTCCCCCAATCATTTTTTCTTTACAGAGATAATGTTACGCATATTCTATAAAACAGCAACAAAAAACCGAACAGATATTATAAAGAACTACATCTTTCTGGAGACAAATTATCTTTTTGAGATTGAAGAGGAAATTTACAAAAAAATTAGAAAAAAAATATTTTCTTCTTTTAAAAAAAGAATATTTACATTGAAATATTCTCTCCTTACAAAAAAAAATAAAATGTTATATGTGTTATTCTATTCTAATTTTATTGTATATTTAATTGATATTGAAAAAAAAAATACGAAAACATTAAGCTCTCATATGTATAATCCATACCGTGTACTACCTATTATAATAATGACTAACTAAAAAAAAACAAACAAATCATTAAAGACAACAACAACAATATACATACGTTTTATTTTTTGGTCGATACACACTATAATGATTAGTTATTATTATTCAGCATTAGCAATCGTTAATAATAAAAAACATGTATCTATCTACATAGAGTGTATGTGACATACATTTCTGACATACATATATTCTCCAAACAAATTTAAACAACAACAATAATAATAATAAAAACAAACATTATGTATATTTAAAAAAGTTACATTGAAACACCTGTTGCATTTTTTTCTTGTAAATAAAAATGAGGGGGAGTAGATAGGTGGAGGTCGGAGGGAACCCAAAAAAAAATTGCTTGCTTTTATAAATTATTTTATATTATTTAAATTCTCACCGATTTCCCCTTCGTTATTTAAAGCTCTCAATTTTTTGACTTTTCAATAGAATTTCATCAAATTGTGCAAATAAAAATGTTATTTTTTTAATAAATGTTTCCTAACAGACTCAAAGTCGTAAACAAGGCTATCAATGCACTTTGCATTGCGCACATATGTCAAATGCATTTTTGCAACAGTGCCATATTTGGCTCTCAATAATGTGCATCCTCATTAATATTCTTTCTCATCATTATTTATTGTTCTCTCTCTCTCTTGTTTTTGTTTTAAGTTTTACAATTGAATTACATCAAATATTTATTAATTACCCTATACATTTTTACAACAGCCTCTAAAAGGCTTACCAAAGGCTGGCTATCAATGCACTTTACATTGCATATATCAAAGCTATTACATGTGGCATCTCTTCTCATCGTTCTCGTGTAAGGTAGGTGTCATTCATTTGAAATATTAACGGCGACTAAATGTTACATATCTTACATACTATCCCTCCTCTCCACTTCCTTTCTCATCTGTATTTGTTGTTCTCTCTCTTGTCTTTTTTAAGTTTTACTATTGAATTACATCAAATTTTTGCTAATAAAATTGTTAATTTCCCTATACATTTTTGCAACAGCCTCTAAAAGGCTTACCAAAGGCTGGCTATCAATGCACATTTAATTGCATATGTCAAATACATTACATGTGGCATCTCTTCTCATCGCTCTTGTGTAAGGTAGGTGTCATTCATTTTAAATAATAACGGCGGCTAAATGTTACATCTCTTGTTTACTATCCCTCCTCTCCTCCCCACAACCAAAAACAACCAACAACCATGTGAGACAACGTTTCATTTCAGCCCAACTAACGAAGTAGAAGAGAAACACAACAAAAAACACGAGCGCAACATATAAAAACAAAGTACAGCAAACACAAAACACATAGGAAAAAAGAAACGCACGCACACACAAACACACACACGCCATAATACAATGGAAAACAAATCTAACCAATGAAACAAGAATTGGAACAAAACAACGAAATAAAAACAAATAACATTTGAAAGAAAAAAAAATGGGATGACTGATAACGACGTCGTCAACAGCAATGATGTTAGCGGCGGCAGCATAATAAAAACAACATTGAGGAGAACACAAAGCGTGGTTTTATATTTGTCGGGATCGGGATCGGTGTTGAGAGTTTCTCTCTCTTGAGAGAGTAATTAGAGTTGCGCTATTTTTAATTTTGTAACAAGCGTACTTTTTGTTCACAAGACGTACGAATTGACATAAACGTACCAAAACAAAAATTTGATTTTTTTTATTATTCGTGAATACATTTACGCTTAAATTATAACATATGTTATTTATGCAAATAACTGGTATAAATATTGGCCAATATTTCTCGATAATAATGATTTATTATCATTTGAAGTAGAATTTTATGTACCTTTTCGTACTTTTTTTGTTCCTACCTGTGGTAATGTTTTCCAACACAATTCACAATTTACCACTGAGAGAGAGAGAAACTCTCAACACCGATCCCGATCCCGACAAATATAAAACCACGCAAAAGGGAAAAAATATGTGAAACACACATACACATGCTAGCGCGTGCATGCATACATGAATACAACAAAACAAAATCAAACACATTTGGTTTGGCTGGCCGGCAACGGCTAATCGAACAAAATAATTGTAAATATAATGTCGTACAAACACACAAACCACCAATAAACCAGAAACATGAACAAAATCAAGAAAGAACCAAAATAACAGCAAAAAAATACAGTCACGATGGAAGATGGCTAAATGTGTGTGGTAGCGGTGCTAGAGGTGGCGGGTGTTTTAATATATACAGATGTGAATGACTGACTGCCATGAAATAGGGTAGTCGAATGTATTAGTAACATGTTACATGCGGACGAGAAACAGACAAGACCACAAGCAAAGATTAATGTAAATCTCTCATAAAAATGAAATAGCTAAAACAAAAAAGAATGGAAAAGCGTGCAACATTTACCAGTAGCGATGCCATTATGGCAATCAATTACAACAATGGGTTGGCGCATTTTATTGTAAAATATGTTGTTTGAAAACATTTTTGTTATGCACTTGCCATTTTTATTGTTGCTAATCTCTATTGTGATGACAAAATGTAATGAAATTCATTGCATGCTTTCATTTCCAGAGTGTTCCATTCTCTAAGGAAAGGTAGAAAAAACACGCGGGAAAAATTCTGTCAACAGCAACAGCGCTGGAGCTGCTCATGAGAGCTTCATTAATCTCTCAGTAAATCGCTGTTTTTGTTTTATTTCTACTTCGTGTACTAATCACCACAATCTCCCGAATATAATAAAAGCAATATTTAAACAAAATCAAAAGAAGAAAAAAAAAAACAAGTAACACGAGTAAATGACGAGTCTATAACAGAAACGAGGTAAGCTTTATCGCGCAACCTTGTTAATTGGACAATACGACGACGACGAATCATTTATATGCGCTTTGTCGTTTTTGTACTTATCGAACTGAAGAAAACATACACACAAATGACCGAAGAGGAGAATGTCAACAACAAATATACAAACAAACACAACTGGCACTTACGGGTGTCTTTTTGTTCTCCACTACGGGTGACGATGAAGATGATGACTCGGCCGGTTTTGCTGAAGATTCCACATCAGCATCTGGTGTTTTGGTAGTAGCATCCTCCTTCTCCACCACCTCCTTTGTGGTGGTGTCACTTTGAGCGGGAGTCTCATCGGCAGCTTCAACTTGTTTTGTAACTTCGCTGGTCGCCTCAGTCGACTGCGCTGCAGCTTCTGTTGATGGCGCGCTATTTTGCTGTTGTTCATCGATATTTTCAACAACTTCAGACATGTTTTCTTATTTTGGTTTTGTTTCTCTCTTTTTTATTACAATTTGTTGATTTAAATGCTTTGTAGTTTTGTTTCTTCTTTTTTTCCTATATATTTTTACTTGCCAAAGCACACTCTACTCTACAACACACTTCTGCTTTTGATATTCACGCGAGAAATGAACAAAATCGTAGGTAGTTTGATTGTATTGAAACAACTTCTACTCATACACAAACACAACTACAGCAGGCACGGAATATTCCTTTTCTTTTTTTATTTGCTAGTTCACACTTTTGTTTCACCCGTCGTTATGGAACACGTAGTTTATTTGTATCAATAAACAAAAATACGTATGTGCTTGGTAAAATATTTAAACGAAAATATATTCAATAAAAAAACTCTCTAATTTCGTATAGAAGAGTTAATGCACAACAGCCGATAAAACGCCAACTAAAAGTGTTAATGCTAAACTGTCGGGTAGTAGTCGGTAAATTTAAAGTAATCGATGATGACACAATACCAATTACGAGTTATTTTTTGTGGTTGTTTGTGTTATCGATTACTTATTATTTGATGGTAGATGGCACATGGCAACACATCAAATTGTTTCATAAAACGAGTATATGCTAAACTAAGAGTAATTAGAGTTGTGCTATTTCTAATATTGTAACAAGCATACTTTTTGTTCAAAAAAGGTGCGAATTGACATAAAAATAGATTTTTTATTATTCGTGAATACATTTACGCTTAAATTATAACATATATTTATAAATATTTCAATAAATAAAATAAAATAAAAATATATTATTTATCCAAATAACTGGTATAAATATTGGCCAATATTTCTCGATAATTATGATTTATTATCATTTGAAGTAAAATTTTAGGTACCTTTTCGTAGATCAGCTGATGTTTGTTAGTATACATACAAATTTACTAACTTGCGCCAAGAATATTAGTTTGCAATGTGAAAATAAAAAGAAAAATTACAACAATGGAAATGTTTTTGCAATACTGTGAAAAGTTAAAAATCATCTAAAAACACAAAAATTCTATAAATAATGTTTATTTTTCTTTGATCTTTCATTTCTGTATTTGGAAACTTTTAAATTTTAGAAACAAACAACATTTGAAAGCAATTGTAAATTTTGGTACTTTGTGAGAGAGAGTTGTATTTTTTTTCGTACAAAAACCGCGTTGCAGTAGTATCATGATTTCGACCATGATCAATAAAGAACTTTTGAAATATTTTCAACTAATATAATTTTTGTGGAACGTGTTTAAATTAGGTAGGTTCATTTCATTCTAATTCACTTACTTCCTTTTGAAACATTATCATCCATCCAAGTCAAGGTGTATTTAATAAGGTAGCCGCATCGACCCAGCTGTTGGTGCAAATAAATGTCTAAAATGTTGTTGTAATGTTGAATCAAAAAATTAAAAAAACAAACTTATAAATGAAAATCTCCGAATTTCGAAGAGATTGTTTGGCTATATCTTCATTAACATTTTCTACCAGAATTTGTGTAAAAAAATCTTGTCAATCTGTTTGTTTTGACAAAATATTTTTGACATATCAAAATACAACAACCGAAGTTTGTTGTAGAAATTCGCCGATGCGGCTACCTTGTATATCTACCTTTATAATAGGCCAAACCACAGGCTGATAATTATTTGGCGCAAACATACCCATATAATAATACGCAGAGCATCTTTAAACAATAAAAACAAATATTTTGCAAAAATGGAAACAGGATTCGATGTTGGTGAAGTTGCAGGTCACCGTAATGAAATTATAACATATATACTCAACGGCATATCATGTAAGCTTCCCATGAAGGAGAAGGACATGTGTACGGCTCTTAATATCAAAGGGAAAATGTTTAGCATGGCCTTTCAGCAGGCGAAATTAGTTTTACAAGAGGTAAACACGAAATTTTGAAATGCAAATTTGTATTTTTTTAAATGGTATTTATATATTGCAGACTTATGGAATTTGCCTGGCCGAGGTACCTGACACCAAGAGTGGAAAAGCCCTTATATGCTATAATGAAGATACGGCTAAATGCCAGCTATTATATGATGAAGAACAACTGCAACAATTGACGTTGTTATTTATTGTTCTATCATATTTATTTATGCGCGGTTCCGATTCCCCAGATAAACACAATACAACTGAAGGTATGTAGATACATGGGAATTTTAAGTTATATTTTTATTAATTCATTTTTTTCTTTGTTTCATAGAGGACTTGATCAATTTTCTTAGTGGTTTGCGTATTTCATTTGATTGCTGCCATGAATATTTTGGAGCAAATGTTAAAAAACTGTTAACTGAGACTTTTGTCAAACAGCTCTATTTGAAAAGAGATAAAGTTATATCCGATATGGATGCCGAAACTAATTAAGAGAAATCAAATTTTCCAATATATTTTTTGATGTTCATGTTGTATTTGTAGATTTTTCTATAGCTGGGGTCGTAGAGCTCACATTGAATTCGACAAGAAGCTGGTTTTTGAATCCACAGCAAAGGTAGTTACATATTTTTGTATTTCTCATTTAATTTGAATTGTTTTTTAGATTCTCAAGAAGCCCCCTACTGTATTTGTGGCAAAATACAATGAAATCTATGGCGAAGATGAAAATCGTATGCAACAATAAATTATTTTTTGGTTTTGTCAGTAATTTATTAATTAATTAAAGCTATTTTTATATAAATAAAAAAAACTGAAAAGTAAAAATTAGTTGAATACCACAAACAAGTTATTCCCTCCTACGGAATATAGTTCTCTCATTCCATATAATCCGATGGCAACATAAGTTCCTTATAGAATTTGATAACCATTTGTGATATTTTTATGTTTGTCCCTGTGGCTGACACTATTTCTGGTTAACCTACATCCTTGAAACTTATTAGAAAATATAAAGCACCATATTGATTAGTTTTTCCGCTTTAATTCTCTTATAAAAACTACACTCCTTCAAGGCGGCCGATGATACTTCCTTTTGACCAACCAATGAACCTTAAGACGCTGGGATATGGCTTTCATCTTTCGTGTGGATTTACGTCCACTTTCGTATGTATTTTCATATATCCAAGTATTTTGCGATTCAGGCCAACCTTTCCATTTCAGCAAATATTTAATCCAACCCTTTCGTATACGCCGGCACAAATATTTTCGACAACAAATTCTTTTTTTATCCAAAATAATTTCTATAAATAGAATGAATTTTTGCAGTTTCTGGAACATAGTCCCAATTTAGATTAGGCGAGTTTCCTTGCGGCAAGTCTTTGACTGTAGGAGAGAGGGGCAAGGGGAATAGAAATGGAAAAAAAAATGCTCGTACCGACAATTTTCTGGCAATTCGTTTTGTGTATTTCGTATTTGTTGACATTTTATATTTATTTAAATGTGAAAAACTATTGACATCAAATGAAAAAAGAAATATTTTTGAAACCGAATTGCCTTGTATAGACGCATGAAGCAAGTTCAAAAGGGAACGATAATAATTGCCGCAAGTAAACTCGCCTAATATTAATTAGGACATAATATATATTCGTCGGAGACTATCGATGTTCAAAATTTCGCATATAATATACTATGTCTACGTTTGGATAGAACGTTCATATAAAATATATATTTAATTACTTTGCAATTCATGTGGCCAAATTTAAAGTTAATTAATTACAAAGATTCAACTTTATTTCCATGTTCTAACATTGCCCCATATTAGGTTTCCGCCAAATGTTTGGTATTTTCATGGTACTAAGTGCAATTTACAATGAAAATAACTGTTATTATTATAAAAACACATATTTAGATTAGAATTAACTTAGAAATAATATTAAAAATTCTATAAATAAAGAGCTTTTGAAATATTTTCAACTAATATAAGTTTTTATTTGCTGTAATTTCTTACAATATTTAATAAAATATATATAATCAATAGCAATTCTTTTTCCTACCGGGTCATTTGTTTTTTTTTTTAAATTGTTCTCTTTTATTCGTTCCTTGCAAATACAACACTGTATGGTTCTACAAGTGGCTTCTAAATTGATGCTGTATGACAAGTGTAAAAATTACACATAATTGAAAATTCACAATTATTTTAACTATTTATTATTAACATTTTAATAAAACTTCAAATAAAAAAATATTTTTTTATAAACAACAAAAATTCTTAGTTGTATAAGAATAGATTATAAATGTAAATCAAGCAAATAAACCCTGATTTAGTCTTTAATCATGATTAAATATTATATGTAAATCCGTTTTTATTTTACTTAATTTAAAAACATTTGAAAGAAAATCATTTTTACATTACTAAACAATAACGGTTTCCCTTAACAATACGAGCGGAACGTTTTTGAATTAGGTAGGTTCATTTCAGTTAATTTATGCGTTCACTGTCATTCTCAATGAGGTCAATTTCATTCTTGTTGTGTTTTTATGGAACGTTTTTACATTAGGTAGGTTAATTTCATTATTGGTTTTTTCATCTTGGTTCTGTGGAACGTGTTTAAATTAGGTAGGTTCATTTTATTCTAGTTCACTCACTTCCTTTTGAACCATTATCATCCATCCAAACAAAAAACAAATTTTGCAAAAAATGGAAACAGGCTTCGATGTTGGTGCAGTTGCAGGTCACCGTAATGAAATTATAACATATATACTCAACGGCATATCATGTAAGCTTCCCATGAAGGAGAAGGATATTTGTGCGGCTCTTAATATCAGAGGGAAAATGTTTAGCATGGCCTTTCAGCAGGCGAAAGCAGTTTTGCAAGAGGTAAACACGAAATTTTGAAATTCAATTTTTCTTTTTTTAATTGTATTTATATATTGTAGACCTATGGAATTGGTGTGGCCGAGTTACCTGACACAAAGAGTGGAAAAGCCTTTATATGCTATAATGAAGATACGGCTAAATGCCACCTATTATATGACGATGAACAACTGCAACAATTGACGTTGTTATTTATTGTTCTATCATATTTATTTATGCGCGGTTCCGATTCCCCAGATAAACACAATACAACTGAAGGTATGCTTATTTATACATGGGACTTTTTTTAGTTACATTTTTAATTTTATTGTTTTCTTTCGTAGAGAACTTGGAAAATTTTCTTAAAGGTTTGCGTATTAGATTTGATAGCTGCCATGAATATTTTGGAGGAAATGTGAAAAAACTGTTAACGGAGACTTTTGTCAAACAGCTCTATTTGAAACGAGATAAAGTTATATCCGATATGAATGGCGAAACAATGTGAGAGAAAGCAAAATTTTTAATATATATATATATATATGTATATATTCATGTTTTATTTGTAGATTTTTCTATAACTGGGGTCGTAGAGCTCACATTGAATTCGATAAAGAGATGGTTTTTAAATCCACAGCAAAGGTTGTTACATATTTCTCTTTTCTGTATTTTTTCATTTAATTTGAAATGTTTTTTTTTAGATTCTCAAGAAGGACCCCCGTGTATTTGTGGCAAAATACAATGAAATCTATGGCGAAGAGGAAAATCGTATGGAACAATAAATTATTTTTGTATTATATTATATTAAAAAAATATTTTATTTGAAATTATATTGACCCGTATAGTTTTTTAAATACCTTAATTGAAAATATCGGCATAAGTTTAGGGCCGCATCGCGGACCGTTTTGAAATTTTTACCACATGCTGTCCTTGCTGTAATTCTTGAAAATTACACAAAACTATAAATTATATATTACATTTATTATATAAGAAATTAAGTATTATATTCGAACTAAATTTTAAGTAAATATTACAAAATCAACAAATAAAAAGCTTTTTAAATTATTTACCCAAAATATTTTCTTCAGTAATGGTATTTTTCTTATAATATTTAAATAGTATGTATCTTATCAATACTAGTTCTTTTCCCTACTGGGTTCTTTCAAAGTTGTTCTCTTTTATTCATTCCTTGCAAATACAACACTGTATGGTTCTTGCAAGTGGCTTCTAAATTGATGTTGTCCGACAAGTGGCAAAATTACACATAATTGATTAAAATTCACAATTATTTTAGCTATTTAAAACAAGTATTAAAATTTATATAAAACCGTAAATAAAAAATATATTTTTTTTATTATAAACAAGAAAAATTCCTAGCATTACGAGATTACGATTATAAATGTAGATTGATTTAGATATGCCACACATCCAACATTAAGTTGCAATCCTTGTTTGCAAATTCTAACTAGGAGATTATTTGTTTACATTTTGTTGTAATTCTTGTTAGGATTCTCAGGATTTCTCGGAATCTATCCGCAGCGAAAACAATCATGATGGAAATTGAAAAGGAAATCCCTTACCTGGAATCTGTCGATGATTTTGATATAAAAAATTTACTTTGTCATGAGGAGGAGGATCCAGATATTCCAATTTTAACAGAAATGGTAAGTAACCGGACATTGTTCTCCAGGGTATTTTAATAAATAGTTTGTTATTGTTGTTTGATTAGGTAAGAAGCCATTATTTTAACTACCTCGAACGCCAGCTTATGGAGAATTTCCAAAAATGTTATTATCATCGGAATGTTGTGATAGATGAAAATACGCCGAATGGAGAATTCGAGGAAAAATATAAAAAATCAATCAAAAAGACTGCACATTTGCTGGAGGATAAGGCTGTGGAAGCGTGTCGTATATCATTGAGATATCAAAGGGCTATGGGAAAAATAGTGAGTATAGAGGAAGTAAATAAGACCAAGAATTCATAATATATATAGAAATCTACAAGGACACTAAATGCCGCTTTTGTAGAAGTCTATAAAGACGCTGTTATGGGCCTATAACGACTTCTTTATAGGAGCCTATAAAGACTTCTTTATAGGAGCCTATAAAGACTTCTTTATAGGAGCCTATAAAGACTTCTTTATAGGAGCCTATAAAGACTTCTTTATAGGAGCCTATAAAGACTTCTTTATAGGAGCCTATAAAGACTCCTTTATAGGAGCCTATAAAGACTGCTTTATAGGAGCCTATAAATACTCCTTTATAGGAGCCTATACAGACTCCTTTATAGGAGCCTATAAACATTCCTTTATAGGAGCCTATAAAGACTCCTTTATAGGAGCCTATGCAGACTCCCTTTTAGGGCTTTACAAATGGCAGAATCAATTAAAAAATATTTAATATATTATTCTTATTATCTTCTCTCTCTCTCTCTCTATTTCCTTAGATTCGAATTGTTCGACGTTCAACAGAAGAACAACGCCTGCTAAAGCCACTCGAAGAATCAATATTAAATTTTGAACTGAATGAACCACAAACCAAAGGCACCCAAACTGAAGATGGAACTTTAATAGATGGAAATTGTCGAGAAACCATAAATCACAATAATGAAAAACCTAAACCTAACCTCAATGATCACGAAAGAATCACTCAATCGACTGAAGATGACAACTATGAAATGACACTGGATGAAAAAATTGAAATATTCAAACGACATTTACATAATGGACACATAACTACAAACATGGATATTAAAAAACATGGCAAAAAGCTAGACGATAAGTCCTTAACGACAAAAAAAGATCGTCATCCTCATCATCATATTCGCAAAAAAGAATCACACAAAAGTGATAAACAACAACAACAACATCATCATCAAAGACGACGACATCATTACCATCATCGGCCGTATAAGGAAAATACCAAGCATCAAGTTATAGAAAAAGAACACACAACTCCTCTATTGGCAACACAGCCTGACCATCTTGAAACATCTTCACCATATCCACAACAAATCCCCGAAGCTGTAAATGAAACGGGTTTAACAAAATCTATCGATGCTGATGTTGTTGGCGATATGGAGAATTCCAATGACAGTGTTGCCTTGGAATTGGCCAGATTATTTAGTGAGGAAAAAACCGAATTGGATGAAATATTTGGCATTGATCCGAATCAAGAACCCGATGATCCACAAATATGTAAAATATTAAAAGAAATTGAGTTGGCTCAGGTGGGTGGAACACAACAAACTCCTAACCTTGATAAAACAATCAATCACAGTCCAAAATTGTCGTTACATATTAATGATAATCCTACAGAACAAGAAACACCTATATATCCTGCTACTGTCACATGTGGTGTTAGTGGTGGTGGTAGTAAAATTTGTGAAAAAGATCTCAGCAATAGCCTATGGCCATGTGAATTATTTATGCAAAAACGTAAACTAAGCGAATCTTTGGCCCGTTTGCTGGAAGAAGATTTGCGCTGGCACGAAATTATGAAATGGAAATTCGCGGAATTATTTGGCGATGATAGTGATGATGAATTTACACCCTGCAGTCCTAGTATTGAGCTGGATGATATACTAATGGGCAGCTGTGTTAAACGTATATCACCCTGGGTGGTGAAACATTTGATGATACCAATGCGACATGGCCTAATCGGTAATCGTTTTGTTTTCAAGAAGCTAGCCAGACATATAGCACGTTCTATAATCATGGAAAATCAATATCCAGGTAATTAAAAATTGTAAACAAGTACATAATTATGTTTTTTTTTTTTAAATAGAAATATTTTTTTTCTTTATAGATGAATCCATTATCAAAGGATGCATTGAGAATTATTTTTGCCTGCATCAGGCCGTTATGACATTGGATGATTTACAAGATGTACCAAGTATATCGTTAATATAGAAAGGAATGTTAAGATATGAATAATCAATGTAATATTTAGTTAAATACATACATATGCATATGTATTTCATTGAAATAGAAATATAATTTAATGTTTAGAATATTATGGATTTTTAATTATTGTAACGAAAATGGAAGTTGTGAATAACGAACTGAAAAAGTCGTATACACTAGCTGTAGGGAGTCCTTATAGTCGAGCTAAAATGAGTCTTTTTAGAGGGTCTGAAAGGAATCTTTTAAAGACCTGAAGGGAGTCTTTATAGACGACCTGAAGGGAGTCTTTATAGACGAGCTGAAGGGAGTCTTTATAGACGAGCTGAAGGGAGTCTTTATAGACGAGCTGAAGGGAGTCTTTATAGACGAGCTGAAGGGAGTCTTTATAGACGAGCTGAAGGGAGTCTTTATAGACGAGCTGAAGGGAGTCTTTATAGACGAGCTGAAGGGAGTCTTTATAGACGAGCTGAAGGAAGTCTTTATAGACGAGCTGAAGGAAGTCTTTATAGACGAGCTGAAGGGAGTCTTTATAGACGAGCTGAAGGGAGTCTTTATAGACGAGCTGAAGGGAGTCTTTATAGACGAGCTGAAGGGAGTCTTTATAGACGAGCTGAAGGGAGTCTTTATAGACGAGCTGAAGGGAGTCTTTATAGACGAGCTGAAGGGAGTCTTTATAGACGAGCTGAAGGGAGTCTTTATAGACGAGCTGAAGGGAGTCTTTATAGACGAGCTGAAGGGAGTCTTTATAGACGAGCTGAAGGGAGTCTTTATAGGAGCTGAAAGGGAGTCTTTATAGACGAGCTGAAGGGAGTCTTTATAGACGAGCTGAAGGGAGTCTTTATAGACGAGCTGAAGGGAGTCTTTATAGACGAGCTGAAGGGAGTCTTTATAGACGAGCTGAAGGGAGTCTTTATAGACGAGCTGAAGGGAGTCTTTATAGACGAGCTGAAGGGAGTCTTTATAGACGAGCTGAAGGGAGTCTTTATAGACGAGCTGAAGGGAGTCTTTATAGACGAGCTGAAGGGAGTCTTTATAGACGAGCTGAAGGGAGTCTTTATAGACGAGCTGAAGGGAGTCTTTATAGACGAGCTGAAGGGAGTCTTTATAGACGAGCTGAAGGGAGTCTTTATAGACGAGCTGAAGGGAGTCTTTATAGACGAGCTGAAGGGAGTCTTTATAGACGAGCTGAAGGGAGTCTTTATAGACGAGCTGAAGGGAGTCTTTATAGACGAGCTGAAGGGAGTCTTTATAGACGAGCTGAAGGGAGTCTTTATAGACGAGCTGAAGGGAGTCTTTATAGACGAGCTGAAGGGAGTCTTTATAGACGAGCTGAAGGGAGTCTTTATAGATATATATATATATAGTAGATGGGCTGGAAATGCCCAGCATGCTGTTCCCGTTGATATCACCGATTCCACTGCTACCAGGCTATAGAAAGGACCAATAACCGAAAGAATTAAAAGACAAATAATTGCTAGAATTCACGGCACTTCTCTAAATTTGAATTTGTAAATATTTTTTTGTATTATATTATTAAGAAATCATTGCTACATGGAGTAGTATAGTTTGCAATTTATTTGAAATCGGCCTTAATGGAATAAATAAATCGGCATTTTTTGGAATAAATAAATATTAATAAATACCTTTTGATAGGGATTTAAAAAAATTGAATGATTTATCGTCACCATAATTGTTTTAAAAGTATATTTTCTAAGTATTTTTTTTTTCGCAGCTCCTGCCATAGATCTTTAAGAATACATTTCCTAGATTTATCAAACTATCCTTTTTTTAAGGATAATCAGACCATTGGACTTCGTTTGTTCAAAATATTCCTCCTCACCCAAAACATTAATAATAACAACAATTCATGTTTTTTTTTTTTTTGAAGTTATGATTACAATAAGATTTTTTTCTTTTTTGTGGTTTTTTATAATTATATAAATTTTTAAATAGTTATAATATTATATTTATTTTAATAAACGAATATTATGTTGTTGTTGTTTCTTTTTTTTTTTTTTGTTGTTGTTTGCAACTGCTGCTTTGCTGTGCATGCACATGCTAACACCTATAAAATTCCATCATACTTTTTTGTTGTTGTTTTTCTTTTTGTTTGCATGATCATCGTCATCATCATCGGCAACATTTGGAAATCATATACATCATATAAACACACACACATATGCCACATCAATCTCAACTGGATCGATCGAGCGATTGACATTCGTCATTCACACATGTCATGCCGTGACTTAACTTTGTTGCTGCTGCTCAGGTTCGCATGTGCCAATTGAAAACAAACAATTATTGACAGAAGAGTAGGACAATGAATGTTATTTGTTGGTGGATAGTGGGAGAGAGAAGTGGATGGCATCACACGCTGTTGTTTCTCTTTTGTTAGTTTACTACATAAAATGCAAAATACAGAGAGAGAGAGACAGTGACATTTATGTGCTGAAGTAAAAGTAAATAATAGGGACAGTAGATTTTTGCTTTTTTGGTTTTTTTGTTGGCATGCCAATCCTTGATTGACCGGCCATCCAATCAAATGTCAGTCACCGTCATAATATAGTCCACATTTATATATAAATTTGGTTTGTTGATGGTGCTGTTGTTTTACGGCGGCGTGTGCGAAGGTGTTGTTGTTTGTCTGTAGGGTACGTGTGGTGATGTTGTTGTTATTGTTGGTGGTTGGTTAGTTAATTGGTTGCTAAGAATGGTGATTTTTATAATTGCGACGACGACGACAATGATGATCTTGGATGTTATTCTTTTTCTTCGGTTGCTGTTGATGCTGCTGCTCCAGGCTGTTGCTATTACATTTCTGAATACAATTATAATAACAATGCTGCTGCTGTTGTTGTTGCTGTAGTGATTTGGCGGGTCTATGGAGATGATAACACTACCTAGTATCGGGTATTTGATTTGTGTTTGCTGCCGACATCGCTGCTGCATTGGCGGCAGCATTTTGCTTATATTTTTGTGGCTGTTGACCTTGTTGCTGCTGCTGTTGTTGTTGCTGCTGCGACTGTGATCCGGTAGCAGCCGCTGCAGCAGCAGCACCCGCCGCCACTGTGGGTGGTGGACGACCACGTCGTTCAATGCCTCTATCTGTTGTTGCCCCAGCCGCAGCTGCTTTAATACCGCCAGCCGTTGCCGATTTCTTTTTACTTGAATAGGCCTGCTGTTGTTGCTGCTGTTTCAAATCATCAACAACAAAATCTTCCGGCGAGGTTTGTTGCTGTTGATGGACCTGTTGGCGTAACGTGCCACCGCCGCCACCAACACTGCTTGTTGTATTTGTAGTTTGTGCAGACGCATCTGCAGCATTGTTGTTCATCATTGTTTCCCGCGTATTGTCACCATACGACGACGACGATTCACTGTCATTGGCTGTGTTTGTGTTATTGGCGGCTGCCGCTGATGCTGCCTTTTCATTATTTACATTATCACTATTGGTAGTTTCCTGGGATTCGCCACGTTTATCATGTTCGGGATCCAGGTCCAATGAGTTACAAGCTAATGTTGAGAGCAATAAGGCTTGTACAAATTGTGATCTGTGCAAAAGCAAAAACAAGAAGAAGAACATTTAAGGACACGTAAATAAAAATCGTGCATATATAAAAGGAACAAAGTGTCGGGACCGACTATGTGATATGCTATCCAAACCACAAAACAATCAGGACAAATATCATTCTAGACATAATTCAGCACGCTATGGAAAATTTCATATTAATCGAATACAAGAGGGGTCCTGGCCGCGCCATTTACATGAAATCGTAAATTATGTATGGGAGCTCTATCGAAAACCGAATCGATTTAAATAAAACTTAACACACAACATTCTGGACACGATTCAGAGCTTTCTGTGTAAACTTTCATGCCCATCGGACATATTTAATTTTATTGGATACACCATTTACGTGAAATCGGATGTAATTGTATACCGAAGCAATATTTCAATTTGGACCATTTTTGGCAAAACCACATTATTCTAGACATAATTCAGAGCACGCTATGGAAAATTACATGTAACCGAACGGAAAAGTATATATGAAAGCTATATCTAAATCTCAAACGATTCAAAAAAACTCATCACAATCCGAGAAGCATTGTGATTTGTGGATGTGCCATTTTCATGAAATCGGTTGACATAATTATTTTTTGGTCTTGGGTTAATAAAACTCAGTACACGTCATTGTAGACACAGTTCGATATGGTCTGGAAAATTTCGTATCAATTGTGCTACGTCGTTGACGTAAAATATAATCTAAACTTGGGAATACGTTAATGCCAATAGTGTTCCAATTTAATGTGCCGTACCAAATTTCTTTGCAATTGGAAAATAAATGTGTCCATTACTTTGTTAAAAAAAACATGGACGTATATGTACGTCCCGTATATAACGATTTGGGAAAGTATTTCTTCTATGTATAGTTTCTATCTAATTCCCTTCCCATAACACTCCGTTGTATGTATACAATTTTAATTATATAATTTTTTAATAGCGTAAACTCACCGATCAGCACGTTCTCTACCAATTTCAGCCCATTCGGCTTCACTCAGTGTTGGTTGCATGAATTTTGTGAGCAAGAACTGTGATTGGGCACCACCATCAGCTCCACCACCGCTGCCATTACCCGATGCCCCACCAGCAGCTGAACCAGCATTTGCTCCACTGCCTGAACCACCAGCAATTGACATGCCCAGCATGCTGTTCCCGTTGCTACCACCGATTCCACTGCCACCAGGCTGTAGAAAGGAGGAATATTGTGGTGACAAACCGAAATCGTTGAAAGACAAATAATTGCTAGAATTCAACGGTACTTCTCTGGTATTTAAAGCACTTGCAGCCAGACTTGATTGCGCCGACTGATGCTGGGCCGACACCGACCATTCATTGGTACGCGATGAGCCACTGCCGCCACCATTGGCATTTGAGCCAGAGCCGCTACCACTGATTAGACCACTGCCAGATCCCGAACCTCCACCGCTAGCACCACTAATCA